TGGGAGATTATTGTTATTAATTAAATTACAATTGATTGACATATTTTGTTGGAGCAAGATATTCGCATTTTACTATGGAGCAAATAGAAGATTTAGTTGAAAAATGGTCAGAATATATTATTGGCTGTTTGTGATAGGAAGTTAGATTTCAATGTTAAAAAAATAATAATAGTTTCATTTGTTAGGCTTGTTAGAAATTAAACTAGGTTAGTTAGAAAGTTGAAATTGTTGTATCAATTTCAAATTTTTTTCTTGTATATAAAATTTTTATGTTGATATTATTTTTAAATTAATTTTTGATGTTATGATTTGCCATTATTAAAGATATTTAAAAGGAGAAATTTAAAAAATTTAATTTTAAAAAAATAAATATAATATACGGGAGTGCTCATTTGAAGAGCGCTCTTGTAAAGAAGCTTATGGGAGCGCTCTTTAAAAGCGCTCCTATACATTTCGGAGCGCTCGATACGGGAGCGCTTCAAAAGCGCTCCCTAAGGTAAAAAAAAAAGCGCTCCTGTAAGCTTATTTTGTAGTAGTGTATGATCCGTGATCCATATATTCATATCTCTTCATCATGCATATTCTTGTTTAAGTGCATTGCATTTCCACACATGAAATGTACCCAAACTAGTTTATGCCTTACTAATTGCTATTTCATGCGAGAGTAAGGATAAGATTCACGTGTGATTTGTCTTCCTGAATAGACTAAGTCTGGATATGGTTATTTCATGCATGATAGCCTTCTGCTTCCAAGTAAGTTTTGTTCATAAAAATTGGCTTTGGCATTCTGCCAGCCATTTCACATGTGAGAGCAAAGAGGTTTCACACGAGTTTTGTCATATAGATCTGAGCTTCACTTTTTGTAAGCAATTTCACACTTGATAGCATAGTAGTTTCACGCAAGATTTGTTACATAGAACTGATGATAGTTTCATATATGCTAAACCATGCATGAGAGTTGAAGGTTCGCTCACAAGATCTAGCACACAAAACTAAGTACATATTCACATATGCAGAACCATACGTTAAAGTTCATAAGGTTCACACGTGATTTGTCACATATACATATCTAGAACAAGTCAAGTGCAATTTCACACATGATTCAGCAAGTCACTCGCAAGAAATTGCATCAGCAAATAGAAACACTGTTCCAATGGTCTATCAACTTCTAAAACTATATATGTGATTCATTTCAAGCCTGAAAAAAGCCTAATGATTATTGAGCGAACTTATCTTTATTTGGGAATTTAAAGCTTTCAAATTGTGCTTTAAGATCTTGCATTCATTCATTATTCTTGAAAAGAATTGTGAAAAAGCTCTTATAAGTTTATAAGCTTTCAACTATAATTTCATCCACTCTTTAAAAGAGTTTTCTATGAAAGTTTATTTCATTCTTAAGAAATCTTAAAATGGTATTTTTTAAGTGTTTGTAACAACTTGCTAGATTATAGCAAGATTTGTTGACTGATTGAAAACAAGTTAAGTCTTGTGAGTTATATTGTCATGGCAAGCACCCATTGAAGCTTGTGAATTTAGTTGGAAATCTCAAGTGTGATTTTGAGGATTAGACGCAGGCCAAGATCGAGGCTAAACTAATATAAATCTTATGTGTTTCATCTTCTTCCTTCTAACTAAAGTATCTCACTCATTTAAATTTTTCAAAGTTTTCAAGTGTCATTCAGTTCACCTACTCTCTTTGATGCCAACGTATCCTAATAGTGCGTGCCTTCTTAAGTCACCTCTTGCACCATGTCACCACCACATGCTACATCACACATTTGTTACAAAATATGTCAAAGCCAAGATTTGAACCTTTGACCTCCCACATCCAAGCCTTGAGCTTTCCTTCTTTGCTTGTTGAAATGAAATGCACCTGCAATTATTATATGCAGAATTAAATATATGTTATTTAACTGCATATACATATATCAAATAACATATTATTAAAAACATATACATATATTATATTTTGTTTTCATTTATTAATATGAAGAAATAATTTATATGAATATTTAAATTATATTTTTGATAAAATATTACTTTTTACGAGTAAATACTATTTTTGTTAGGAAAATTAACTTAAAATATACAATTTTTAAATATTAAATAATATTCTTATATACATTGTAACAAATTTTTAAATTTTATTTTTTAAATGAAAATTATTAAGTATATAATTTATTTATAAATATGTATTATATTTTTTTATGTTAAATATCTTTTACTTTTTTCTTCTCCAAATTTTTTTCAAAAATTGATAAATTAAATGATTAAATTTTTATCTTTTCTCAAATTAGCTAAATGTTTCCCTCTCTTTTATTAAAAATATATTTTATCTACAATTTTTCAATATCTTAAAAAGTATTTTAATAACAAATTAATTTATTAATAGTCATTTTGAATAATTGTGAAATTTTAATGAATACTAATAACTTTTACAATACAAGATAATTATAAAGATCTCATATGTGATCAACCTAATTAACATTTAATCATTCTCTACCTCATAAAAGGTTAGATTTGAATAATTTATTCATATTATTCTTAGTAATACTTAGTTATAAAAATATTATTAATAACTTATTTTTTTATAACAATGGAAACCTAAATACATTAGGAAAAATCATATGAAATTCTCGTTCAAAAGCTATTAGAGCTTAGCAGAAGAAGTAGATACCATGTGTATACCAAGCTAAGCATCAAGTGTGCAATATGCTAATTAGTCTACAATATCATTTGCATCTCGCAACATTTGTACAACTTTAACATTTCTATATCATTTATATATTTGTGTGTAAGTAATAATTTATATATAACTTGACCTAATTATAATTGAAAGTAATAACCCATCAAGATTTTAATTTATTATATTAAAATATTAGCCTAATTACATAATTCTCAAAAAAATATATGAGCCATATATGTCTAAAAAAGATTAAGAATAATGCAAAATTAAAAATAAATTCATAATTAAACTTAGCATATCTTTACTATTATTTTCTTTGTTTCACGATCCTATATATCATTTATTTTTAATGCTATATATAAATAAGAAATTTAATTTCATAAATATATTTTGAATGATGTTATTTAATTTTAAATTTTTAAAATAATTCATAAGAAAGTTTTTTAATAATTTAAATGATAATTTTATAAATTATTTCTTATAATTTAAAATTATATTTAATTTTTTAAAAATACTTTTAGTGAAGACAAATATTGTCACCACAGTAATTATATAAATTATTTTTAATATTTAAATTAATTTTTTATAAAAATACTTTTGGCGGTATCATCCACTTTTAATAATGACAATTAAATGTCATCACTAATGTTGCCACCAAAAGTCTAGTTTTGGCAGTGACTTTGATTTATTGTTGCTAAAAGTCCACTGCTAAAAGTTACCACCAAAAATTATTTTTTTTGTAATTATACAAAAAAAAAAAACTCTTTCATATAATCCACTAAACTATCTAGTAATCAATGTATCCACTATCCTATCAAGTAATTTAAAGTAAACTAATGTATCAACTAATCTAATTTATATAGTAAGGGTACTAATACACTATTTACACTAATCTCACCACCACTAATTCTATTGATTGTTTGCTTTGTGCGAGAACAACACTTGGAACACATACTAGCACCACTATTCAATTATTTCATTTTTTTGTACTTCCCTATGTTTGTAAGTGTAAGAATCCTTACAGTGTTGCAAGGCATAAAATAGACATCATATGAATTTACTTGAGTAAATTAAATTCGATAGCATAAAGTGAATTTTTTTCACATATGGTCTTAGGAATTATGCTCTAATCATGAGTAATAATTTCCTTCATGAACCTCATTAAATAGTAGCCACAATCCAATATACTTTGCCATTGTCTCAAGCATAACAATTAAAGAACCAACAAATAAGTATTAATTAATTAAATATATATAAAAAATTAAATTGAATAAATACTAATTACCTTTATTATTTTCCAAGTGTATGTTGCTTCAAATTATTTAAACTTTGGAATTATTTGTTTAGTGCCTATGTGATACAATACAATCACCCTAATAAAAAAGTCAAACATTTGTTAGTATAGAATTCGAATAAACAAATATATGTGTATATATATATATATATAACTTATTTTATTCACTTCATGATTAATCAACCTCAATAAAACCTATCATTTAATTTCCTTAATTTCTCATTAAGAGAATTGAGATAATATATCTTTATTTAGAGTTTTACTAGCAAGTAAATAAACAAGAACAAAAAATATTGGATACAAAATATCTTTCTACTTCTTTTTTTTTAAGGAAAGACAATTTCGTACAAAATGAATTAAAGAGAGAAGAAAAAACCTTTCTAAGGATTTTTCATACAAGATAATTTTGTGATCTTTCTAGATGTCTTTCAATATATCTTTACCGATAATACGGATTTTATAGCGAGTTAAGTTGCATAATTTATAGTTAATTATAATGCATACTCCATGCGAGATATGTGTGTGAACAAATATGCTTAAATCATGCACAAGCAATTTTAATATTAGCTTCCTAAGGAATTATTTTAAGAAGTACTCCCTCTGTTTCAAATTATAGGACACTTTTGAAAAAGTTTTTTTGTCCCAAATTATAGGACATTTTGGGTAGATTAAGGTTTTATTAAATGTATCAATTCTAACATTATCAGTTGTCTCCCTAAGATTAGTTTCTATCCCTTCTCTTTTCAATATATTAAATTATGGGTATTTTTGAAAGTTTATATTTTTATTTTGAAAAGATAAGGTCGTTAAGTGTATTTAATAAAGTTTATTGAGATATGAGATTTTGTCTAAAAGTGTCTTATAATTTGAGACGGAGGAAGTATTATTGAAAGAAAATTCCAGCAGACCAAAACCGATAAACATGAGAAGCATTAGTGTCCTATAAATTAAACTCATAAAATGTAAACTCTGAAAACAGAATGCAATATGATACAAAATATAGAACACAAGAAAAAAAAATATATATATATATATATTCACACGAATGTTCTCATCATTACCAAAGAAAACATCATGACACACATTTCATGTTGAACTGTAAGAATTATAGCAGGCTCATAGTTTATCAGGATGGAGAGATCCATTAAAAGGACAGATCAGAACGAGCCAACTTCTCTTCAATCACCTTAGACAATTTCTCTACCATCCAAGGGGAAAAATGATTTACCCAATCTCCTACTTCACCTTTCCTAAAGAGATCCCTATTTTCATACTGCTTCAAGAATTTCCCACTCTTGTTGACTTCCAATTCCTTCATCTTCTCAAAGCTACACAGCTCAATTATGCTTTCAATAACTCCATTACTTTCCTCCTCTGAAGTGAAAGGGCATTCCAAGAACTCAGCTGCTCTTTTCAAGTACAATTTGATATCTCCTTTCAAATCTTCGTACTTTAAAAACAAAACCTTGTTTGGTGTCTCTTTGCTCTCTCTCCAATAACCCAACATGTGTGTCCAGAATGGACCAACCTCATTGATCCCGTTGCAGTACTTCTCAAATGCTTCCTCACATGATATTTTGGGTAAAGATGGTGGCGAGAGTTTTTTCAAGAAAAGCCATAAAGACACAAACTGGTCAAATGGATTACGACGCATATAGATTACCCTGCATTTAGATTTCGTAATTGAATCAGGCAATGAATGAAATGGGACATGTGTACCAAAAAGTCTAGGCTCAGGCATGTTGGATAAATCAGGAATTTGGTTATTTGCACAGTAATTTAACTCTATGAAAGGAACAAGCTCGTGTGAATTGTGAGTGAGCAAAGGATGGTTCCTTTGTGAAGGAGAGAAATGCTTACGACTCGCAATGGCAAAAATGAGGGCTTTCAACCAAGTAGTTCCAGATTTTGGTAAGGTGGCGATAACAATATCGTTGTCTTTTGCTTTCAAGTGCTTTTGAAAAGAGCGTATGCCTTGGATATTAAATGGTGCGTACCAAATGTCTTGATAGAGATGAATGTCTGGGAAAGGCCAACCCTTCTCTCTGGGAAGAGATTTGAGTAGATCCTTACATTCATCGCAAATATCGTTCTCAGACTCAACATTTCGTTGACCTTTTGGGATGCAAGAGACACTAGTTTCAGCTATTGGAACCACGCTATAACTAGGATATATTAACTAGCTTGAAAACAAGTTTCCATTATTTATAGACAATTTGAAATTAAGAATCATCACGGTCGCAATACAGAAGTATCTATCTGACTATCGAGCGCGTTAAAAGACTCGAAGGCATTCGCTGGTAGTCCAGCTGTACGTGAAGATCAAGATAAGGAATTTGATCGAAACTGATGAATCATTGAAAAGATATATAGTCATATAGATAAGGTTCGTGTGTGGCAAAGAAATTTTAATATATAGAGATTAGGTTGGTGCCACGGGCGGAACCAGACTTGAAATCTGAGGGGGGCCAAATTTTTTAATTTAATAAATATTATTAATTTAAGTAATTTAAAACTAACTAATTAAATAATAATAATAATTTTTTTAATATGTAAACTTATGTAGAAATTTTTTTTATTAAAATTAGATGATTTTTTAAGGTGCCACTTTTACCTCGTAACTATCTTTTGTTATTGATATTTTTTACTTTTTTAAATTTAAAATCTAATTTTTCTGATTTGATTGAAAAAACTGCATTAAGTCTATAAATTTAAGCACCTAATTTTTTTTTAGGAAAATTAATCTTTTAATCTTTCAACTTTTAATTCACTTGTAACTCAATCCCTCAACTATGATTTATTGTGACTTAGTTCTTCAACTATAACTTGCTGCGACTCAATCTCTCAACTTTTGATTCACTTGAAACTCGGTCCTTATTTTTTAATTTTTTTTAAAAATTTCTTATCATATAAGAGGAATAAAACAATGCTCATATATTATTTTAAAATACCCTTCTCTTAGTCATTGATGTGAGATATAAGCTAACATGAGAAAAAAAATTAACAAAAGTTAAAGGACTGATTTGTAAGTGATTTAAAAGTTGAGAGATTGAGTCGTAGGTGAGTTATAGTTGAGGGATTGAGTCACAGCGAGTCATAGTTGAGGAATTAAGTTACAAATGAGTCAAAATTTAAAAGATTAAAAAATTAATTTTTTTTTTTTTAATAACAAGAGTGGGTGTTGGTTTTTTTCTTTTACACATGGTTGGTGTTTTACTTCATATAGACATGGAAGGGGTGGGAACTTGAGAGGGGCCAAGGCTCCCCTCATGCTACACGTAGTTCCGTCCGTAACTGGTGGGGACAAGGAAGTGACGGTAACTGTGATTCACATGGCTCTGCAACTTGCAGACGATGAATCATTGACAAGGAAGGGAGGGAAAATAGCATTGAACAACCACTAAAAAAAATTAATATCAATGAATGACCAATAAATTTTAAAATTTCACTGTAATCCTTTAATCCTCAAGTGATATTAATTTTTTAAATCAAAAATCCAAATTACTCCTCAAGTTAAGGGGGAAAAAGCCCCCCACTATCATTGGTTTTCTAACTTGTTGAAACTCAAATAGATTATTGTTAATTTCAAGTCTAATGTTAATGTTAGGGAAAAAGCATTCAAATAGATTGTTGATGTTGATACTTAAAAGCATAGATCTAATGGAACAAGTGTATGGACAATAAATTGTTTGAATTAATGAAAGTCCATTTTAGTTTTAACAAGCTAGAAAAGCATATAAAATGAGCATAATTGTACGTGTCAATATGTCATTAATAAGTATTCATTTAGGTTTTAATAATAATTTATTTTAAATTAACAACAATCTTTTCGGGTTTTAACAAGCTAGACAAGCATATAAGATGAGAATAATTGTACATGATAGTCTTTTATCAATAAGTATCCATTTAGTTTTGACAATAATTTATTTAAAATTAACAATAATCTATTCATGTTTCAACCTGTTAGAGAAACTGATAGGATGAGCTTAATTTTACATGTTAATCCTTTGTCAGCAAGTATCTATTCGGGTTTTGACAATAACATATCCATAATTAACAACAATATATTAGTACTTTTAACAAGTAAAATGCATGAAGTTTTAAAGCTCTCAATTTATAAATGTCCATGTTAAATTAACAAGTAACATTAGTAAAATAACAAGTGCCATTTAGGAATTAACAATACACCATTATGTTATACTATGGAAGTGGTTAGAAGTTTGGTTTACTACTTATATTTTGTTTGCCATATATAATTAAAGGGGCTTGGAAGTGACCACTACCAAAACCCTCCTTTGGCCATCTAAACCAATTATTTTTGAATAAGTGTCGCTGGTGCAGGAGCTCTACTGACCCCCGTCAATAGCAAGGGCTCCAGTGACCTTGCGGCCGACAAGGACTTCGCCAGCAGACCAACGGTCAGCATCGGTGATAGTGGGGGTTTCCTTTTTTTCCCCCTTTTTAACTCGAGTGGCTATTTGGTTTTTTGACTTAAAAAATTAATATTAATTAAGGTCCAAGAGACTACAGTACAATTTTAAAATCTATTGATCCTTGATTGATATTAATTTTTCTCAATGGTCCTTCACCTACATTTTCTCTATATAATATATAACTCCATCTGATATATTCATGAATCAGTTTCACAAATGAGATTTAAAGTTTTTATTTTTATCCCTATATTTTATAGTTATTAAAATAAAAATTTTTATAAATTTTTAATAAATTTGTTCATTATAATTAATTTAGACAATATATATTTAATCTAGATGGTTCAATTTAATATTAAAATATTTTATAAAATTTATAAATTTAGATATATTCTAAACAATGTAGATTTAATATTAACTTTTTTATAATTTTTATTTTGACAAATAAAATTTTAAAAATATTGAACCCTAAATCAAATCTCTAAATTCCTTAATTAACATTTTTAATGCTTTATTTTATTATTTTCAAAAAATTATTATTATTATTTGTATAAGACATGTATAAAATTTTAAGGATAGATTTTTCATTCACCTAAGAAGTAAAGACTTCCTTATTTTAATATTATCATTTTTGGAGACAAAATGAATATTTTTGTATATTTAAGTTAAATATATTATTTTAACCACGACCTATTTGACTCCATATTGACTTTTGTTAGACCACTGACCCTTAAATCACTGCCTCTATTATTTTATTGACTAGTCCAATTTTTAGATCTTTGGATGACATGATATAATTTTCATTTTTTTATATTTTTTTAAATAAGAGATAATTCCAACTGCACATTTTTTGGATATTTCTCTTTAAAAAATATTATAATATTAAACTAGACTATTTCATTACCATAAAATATTAAAATTAAAAAAATTTCTCATTTTACTTATATTTATAATCAATTCCTTGTACTAAAGAACAAGTATCTCAACTGATAAGGGGTCACACTTGTGGTCTCAAGTTTGAATCATGGGTATGTAGTTGTGGTAAATACTCATTTTTTAGATATTAAAGGATAAATTTTTATTTTTCTAATCATTGTTACAATATTTTTCTTTTCGTTTGTTCAATATAAATGGTTGTTCTAATTGATAAAGAATAATAAAATTATAGATCTTCTTTTAAAGTGTGTTAACCGTGAACAAAGTGAATAATGTTGCTTAACTAAAAAAAATGAGAACATTGTCATGTATGTTAAAAGTTAAAATTAGTTTTTCCCGCTTAAATTACATTAAAAAATAATAAAAATTATCTTTTATGTTATATGCCATGTGTATTTCATTATAAATCTGACATGGTAAACTCTATTAATTTAATAGAGTTAATAAATGGTAGGGACTTTTGAAAAGAAAATTACATGTTAGAGGATTAATTTTAAATATTTAAAAGTAAGGGAGTCACATGTACTTGTTTCAAAGTTCAAGAAGTTTTATATATTTTAGCCATATTTCAATGATTAAAGGAAAAGAAAAATAGTTCAGAGGTGGAAACATTATAGGAGATACTCTCTCCATCACCATTTATAAGATGCTTTTGTGAAAAATTTGATGTCCTGAAATATAAGACATTTTGCTAAAATAAAAGTTTAATGAGCAAAATAAGACCTTGAACTTTTGCTCAAAAATTGTCCTGTATCTTGAACTATTAAAATATGCAAAATAAACTCTAAACTTATAAATTCGTGACAAAATAAACCCTGGCCATTAACTTTTTTAACATCGTTACTGTTCACACGAATACTATTCATAGTGGGTCCCAGTTAATGCTAATGTGTCATTGTGAATTAGCGCCACAAATATTCTAGATTTTTCTCCTAGATATTTACAATAAATATTTATATATTTACATGAAATTATCTAGAGACTATTTCAAGACATGTTTGGAATATTCTAGAACATCTTAGAGTATCCTACAATATTCTAGATACCTCCACATCCTTCCATAAGCTTCTAGAACCTTCTAGATTTTTTGCAGATTGATCTAGATATTTTTAGATTATTTTAGATGCTTCTAGAACATTCTAGATTCCTCTTGAATGCCTTGAAATACTCTCTTAAGGTTAACCCGGGAGCCTCTTAAAGGGTCCTGAAGTACTTCAGACTACTTTAACCTCGTGAAAAGTCATGGATAGTGATATTCTCCCTCACGTAATTTCGTGATGCCCTCGTCGCACCTTCCTTCTTGTAGTATTGGGTTTGGTCAGTGAACTACCATAGGAGTCTTCACGTTCCCAACTAGCTTCAGAGTCTGATTGACCTTTCCACTTGATTAAGTACTCAGTGTAGTTGGGAACTCCTCTCTTTCTGATCACCCTATCAGCGAGGATCTCCTCTATGTCGTTGTCAAACTTGATGATGACCGCCATTAGTACTCTCTTAGAGATACCTTAGGATGGATCTTCCTCATCATTGCAATATTTCTTCAAGAGACTAATATAAATAACACGATGAATCTTGAGCTTGGGAGGGAGTTGTACCTAATATGCATCCTTTCCCACACATTTAATGATGGGAAAAAGACCTTTATATCTCCTGACCAAGCCTTTATGGACCTTGTGTAGTTACTTGAATTGATTTAGCAAAAGCTTCCCCATTACTAAGTCACCAACTTGAAACTCAATAGGGTGTCGCTTCTTGTTTGCCTACTTCTTCATTTTACGGGAGGCTTTGTCTAGGCTTGCACAAGTAATGTCAGCTTCTTCTTGCCATTCTTTGGAAAACTTATAAGCAGTTGGATTGTCTCCCTTATATAAAGCGACAAGTGTGTTAGGGGCTAGAGGTTGTTACCCAGTAGCTATCTCAAAGGGGCTCTTACTTGTTGACTCACTTCGCTGCAAGTTGTAAGAGAATTGAGCCACATTAAACAACTTGGCCCAATATCATTGATGAGTGCTTACTAATGTCAAAGGTAGAGCTCCAACAAAGCCTTAATTTGCTCTGTCTATCCATCACTCTAAGGATGAAAGCTTGTTGAGAAGTTCAAGTCTATCCCTAAGAGCTTGAAAAGTTATCTCCAAAATTTTCATGTGAATTAAGGATCTCGATCACTAATGATACTTTGAGGAATTTCCCATAACTTTACGACATGCTTGGAAAACAAGTATGCCACTTCATCAACTTTACAATCTGGAGGGGTTGGTATAAAGGTGGCATACTTGATGAATCTATCAATCACCACCATAATACTCCTACATCCTTCAGACTTAGGGAATACAACTATGAAGTCCATTGAGACACTTTCCTAGGGTCTTTTAGCCACCAACAGAGGTTTGAGTAGACCAATAGGATGTTGATGTTCATCCTTATCTTGCTGGCATATTAGGCAGGTCCTTATATATGCTTCAACATTATCTTGCATATGTGGCCAGTAAAAGTGATTTTGTATGAGAGCAAGCATTTGGGTCATACCTGGATGTCTAGCCCACATTGAATCATAGCACTCTTTGAGGACATACTTTTAAAAGTTGTCCTATTTTGGCATATAGACTCGGTTCCCAATTGTGTATAGTATTCTATCATTCATCTAAAATCTTCTAGTCTTACCTTCTGTAGCAAGCTTTACTAAGTCACTTGCAGTAGAGTCTTGACACATACCTTCCTTAATTTTTTTAAGGAGGTCATTATAGGGCATGCTTGCTAAGAGAGTAGCTAAGTTGACTTTTCTGCTTAATGCATCTACTGCCACATTTGCTTTACTAGGCTTGTATTCAATCGATAATTAAAATTAGCAAGAAAATCTTTCCAACGAGCTTGCTTTGAGCTGAGCTTTTTATGTGTTTGGAAGTAGCTCGTATCAACATTGTCCATCATTATAGTGAATTTACTTCTAAGTAAGTAGTGATGCCAGGTTCACAGGCAATGAATAATGGCAAACATTTCTTTTTCTTGCATAGTGCAGCGCCTCTTTGTGTCATTTAACTTACGACTCTTATACGTAATAGGGTGTCTATCTTGTATCAACACACCCCTTATTACAGAGTATGAGACATTAGTATGTATCTCAAATGGCTTGGAGTAGTCGTACAAGGACATGATAGGCTCTTGCATTACTATCTGCTTCTGCCTTTCAAAAGCATCTTAAAAATCTTATAACCATTGCCCATACTTATTCTTCTTAAGCAAGTCTGTCAATAGAGTAGCAATAGTTGAATATCCCTTGATGAACCAATGATAGTAGTTCATAAATCCAAGGAACGATCTTAGCTCCAGGACCTTGGTAGGAGGTTGCCATTCTTGAATGGCTCGAACCTTAGTTGGGTCCATCATGAGCTTTCCATCCTTGATCTTATGCCCTAAGAAGTCTACCTCTTGTTTGGCAAAATAATATTTTTCCAACTTAATGTAGAGTTCATGATCAAAGAGTACTTGAAAGACTTTCTCCAAGAGTTGAGCATATTCCTCAAGGGTATTACTGTACATCATGATATCATCCAAGTATACCACTATGAACTAGTTCAAGTAAGGGTAGAACAACTTATTCATGAGTGTGTAGAATGTTATTGGGCAATTTGTCAGTCCAAAATGTATGACTTGAAATTCGAATGTTCCGTATCTTGTCACACAAGTTGTCTTCAGCTTGTCACCAGTGGCAATGCGTACTTGATAATACCTTGATCAATGACCAAGCTTAGAGAAGTACTGGCCTTTCCAAGCTAATCAAACAAGTCGATGATTAAAGGTATCAGTACTTTTTCTTGATAGTGATCTTATTTAAGGTGAGATAGTTGATACACATCCATAGTGATCCATCCTTCTTCTTCTGGAAGAGAACTAGAGCACTATATGGGGCCTTAGATAGTTGGATGTATCCAGAATCAAGGAGGTCTTGGAGTTGTCTCCTTAATTCAGTAAGTCTTGGTGGTGACATACAGTAAGGTGCTAAGGCAAGTAGCTTTATATCAGGCTCCAACTCGATCTGATGATCTACCTCTCTTCTAGAAGTTGGTTTCTTTGGCAACTTGTCAGGCATAACATGTTTGTACTCCTGCAGTGTCTCTTGGATGCAAGATGGCAAGGCTTCTTATAGGTTAGTTATGTTGTCCTCTTCCTTAGCTAATAAACACATGGTAGCAATGTATCCTTCTGAATTCTTGAGACCTCTTTTAAATTGCAAGGTAGAAATCATAATTTTAGGTTTCTCCAAGCGCTTCAAAGGGATTACTCAAATTATGTTAGAGTCGATGACCACTATAGACTTGGCTTTAAGAATAGGAAAGACATATGCTTTACAAAAGAAAGCAAGTCCCAACATAACTTTGAAATCATCTATAGGGACAATAGTGAAGTCTAGCCTACCTTGCTAGTCCCTGATCTTCACCTTCACATCCTTGGCAATCCTAAAGACTTGTTTAACTAGGGAATTTACTACTTTAATGGTGCCTTCTCCCTTATCAAATTGGACGCTTAATTTATTTTCTTGCTCAACCTCTATGAAGTTGTGGGATGCTCTTGTATCGAGCATAGTAAAGGCAAACTTGCCTTCGATGCCAAAATTAGCATAAAGTAGACCCTTGTCTTCCTTCTTGGATAGAGAAAAGAGTATAGTCAGTGTATTCAAGTGTTGGAGGGAACCAAGGTTGACCTATTGCTTCTTGTCTTGCCTTTCTTTCATTTTAGAAACCAAGGCATTCATTGCCTTATGATTGGGGTAATCATGAGTCTAGTGTGGACCATCGCATATGAAACATGGCTTTGGTGACTTTGAGGTATCATACTTGGTTGAGGATGGTTTATCCTATTTAAAACTTCTACCAAAGGATTTACCACCATCCTTACGATCAAAACTCTTCTTTTATCCTCCTTTGTCTCCCTTACTCTTACCAGGATTAGGCTTCTTACTCTTGGTAAAGTAGTCGATCAAGGACTCGATAGCTACAATAGCCTTATCTAGAGTCTATACCTTGTGTCTATCAAGCTCTACTCTAGCCCAATCGTTAAGCCTATCAATAAAGTGGAAAAGAGCCTCCTTATCAGATAGGTCCTCAATCTTTAGCATGATGGAAGTAAACTCTTTAATGTAGTTAGGAATACTACCAGTTTATCTCAACCTATAGAGCTTACCTCTAGCTGTCGTCTCAGCATAGTGGGGAACAAAGTGCTTTTAAAGTTCTGACTTAAACAGCTCTCATTTATTGAGAGTACAAATGCCCTTCTCTCATTCAGCATGTTTTCTATGCCACCATAAATGGGTTGTATCCTGAAGGAAAGTGGAAGCATTGTTGATTCAGATTAAGTCATTAGTAACCCCTATAGCCTCGAAGTACTGTTCTAAACTAAAGAGAATGTTCTCCATAACTGTTACATTAAGAGCCATATTGTACATTGCTAGTTTAGGCACCTTCAGTCCCTAAAGAAGTGATGTTTAAAGTACTACCACTAATAGGGCTTCTTACATGTCGATGAGATTCCCATTCATGGCTAATCTCATCCATTAGAGAGTGTAGACCTCATAATTTATCCTTGACATACTTGTGAAGTTCAGCAAGATCATGTATAAGGGAATGAAGGTCTTTCCCAAGATCATGGCCAAGTTCTTCAATCATCAACTTGACAATATGTGTGACCTCAGCATTCTCTCGAATGAGATTGCTGATGAGTTGATCATTGAGTTCCCCCATAATGCACCTGACATTCTCCATGTGAGATTCCAAGCTAGCAACTTGGGGTTTAAGGGACTCACTTGTAGGAACCTTGCTCTTGCTTCACTTAGACTTAGGATGAGCTTGCTCCTCTTGTACATAAGCTTGCTCTTATACTTCCATGCCAACAGCGTTTCCTTCCTCACTTGCCATTGCACAAAACCTTTCTTTAAGCACAATGGTAGAACCATGCTCTGATACCAATAGTCATGGGACTAGTCTTTTGACTCGATCGACACTTAAACACTCTTCACTGAAAGATGCTAAGTAAGTTTGATTTGTAGAAAAAGAGGATGCTTGGCTAAGTTAAGGAAAGGAAAATCTTGAGACAAAAGGAAAGTTGAGAGTTTGGAAAATGTGATAATTGTATTGCTTGAAAACTCAAAAATGATTTATAAATGAGGAAGGGTGAGGTATTTATAGACCTCCTCTTAATTCTAAAAAATTTCCATCTCCTTAATTGACGGTAAAGATTAAATTGATCTTATCATTGATCTTCTAGATTTCTCTCCTAGATATTTACAATAAATATCTAGATATTTACATGGAATTATCTAGAGACTATCTCAAGACATGCTTGGAATTATCTAGAACATCCTGGAGTATCCTACAATATTCTAGATACCTTCACATCCCTCCATAAGCTTCTAAAACCTTCTAAATCCTTCTAAATTCGTTCATTCTAGATATTTTTAGATTGTTTTATATGCTTCTAGAACATTTTGAAA